CCTTAAATTTTTTTTTAAAAGGCCCTGGCCCATAGCTCAGTTGGTCAGAGCATCATCTTCATACACCAAGGTTTTGGGTCCAATCTCCAGTCAGTGCACATGCAATTGCACCTCAGTTCTTGAATTCGGTAAAAAAAAAAAAAAAAAAAAAAAAATATTTCAGAGCCAGGAACTCAAATTATAAGATAAAATTTATTTAGAAAGTTACAGAGGTAGTAGAAGTCAGCCAGCTGGGCTGCATAGGTTCAGGAAACAAGTTACAGAAGCAAAATAAGGGCCCTTTAGCAATCCTGAGAAAAGTGAACAAAGTAGGAGGGATCTCAATACTAGATATAAAGCTAAATTACAAAGCCACAGTTCTCAAAACTGCCTGCTACTGGCTTAAGAACAGGCATATAGATCAATGGAATAGAATAGAGAATCTAGAAATCGACCCAAACCATGTTCAATTAATATTTGACAAAGGAGGCAATAGCATACAATGGAGTCAAGACAGTTTCTTTAATAAATGGTGTTGGGAAACGCCTGTCAGAATGGCCAACATCAACAAATCAACAAATGACAAGTGCTGGTGAGGATGCAGAGAAAGGGGAATCCTCCTGCACTGCTGGTGGGAATGCAGACTGGTGCAGCCACTGCGGAGAACAGTATGGAGTTTCCTCAAAAAACTAAAAATGGAACTCCCATTTGACCCAGTGATCCCAACTTCCAGGAATATATCCCAAGAAAACAGAAACACCAATCAATAAGGATATATGCACCCCTATGTTCATAGCAGCATAATTTTCAATAGCTAGGATTTGTAAACAGCCTAAGTGCCCATCAGCAGATGAGTGGATTCAAAATGGTGGTATATCTACACAATGGAATACTGCTGTAAAAAGGAAGGAACAGCATGGATAGACCTGGAGAACATTATACTAAGTGAAATAAGTCAGTCAGAGAAAGATAAATATCACATGGTCTCACTCATTTGTGGAATATAATGAACAACATAAACTGATGAACAAAAACAGATCCAGAGACAGAGAAGCATAGATGGGATCACAAACCTCAGAGGGAAGACAGGGAAGGTTGGGGAAAAGGGGAAGAGATCAACCAAAGGACTTGTATGCATGCATATAAGCTTAACCAATGGACACAGACAACAGGGGGGTGAGGGCATGAGCGCAAGGATTGGGGGACAATCGGGGGGAACAGGACACATATGTAATACCTTAATCAATAAAGGAAAAAAGAATCCAAAAACAAAATAAGGGTATTTGGAGCTTAGGAGAGAAAAGGGCAAAGGTAATTCCCCTGGGGGGAAGAAGAGGGGGAGGGAAAGGCGGGGTTGTGTTCCTGAGAAAGAGTCCCATCAGCATTGTTTCTACTTAACATATTGCTCCTTTAAGAAAAAAATTTCAAATCTTAAAAAAAAAAAAAAAGAAAGTGCTTCAAGTCTAACATAATCATAAGAATAACATGTTGAGTAAATCACACACTAGGATGGGACTTCCCCTAAGGGGTAGTTGGGCCTTGTGCCAGGGATCTGTGAGACTAACTTTACTGTTGGCTTTTTTCCTGGTTGGGAAGAGGGAAGAGCAGGAGCTTGAAGCTGCAGCCCAGCCAGCTCTGGGAAGACCCAGGCAAAGTCCAAAATGTTTCACATTGTACATTTGCTGAAAAAATAAAATTATTATTCTTTCTGGAGTGTACAATGTAGAATTTAATCTTATTTAACCTTTCCTTTCCCTTTCCCCCTAAGCTAACAATCAACATGTGTAACTCATTAACACAACTGAGCATAACTGTTAATTGAAGATATTTGTCTTCTCTTTTACCCTAAAAAAAATGTATTTGCCCAGTTAACAAAACCTCATTTACTTAAATTTTTTCATATCCATTCTAAAGGATCCATAAATTTCATTGTGATGTGAATGTAAGAAGACGGATTAAAGTATAGGGGAAATATGAAGAGAGATTGGATGTGATTACTTTCCAATTCTTGCTTGACTAATTCAGAATATCAAACAACATTAGGCAATTTGACAAAAAAAAGTCAGTGTAGCTCTTTATTTCCACTCAGAAGATACTAATTCTCTATGTTTGAGCATTCTTTAACTTGTACTTATGAACACTGAATTTGATCTTTGCTCTTTTTCAGGGGGTGGGAAGGGATTTGTTTACCCGTTTGACAAATATATCTGTGGGCAAGGCATTGTTCAGTGTTTTAGTCATAGATTTTTTAAACATCTACCTTGGCTGCTCCACAGTCCCTTTGTTAATTATTTTATCTTCCTGCTTAAGTGACTCCAGTTCTGATTCTAGAGTATTATTTGGTAAATTAAATCATCCATAACACAGAGGAAGCGGGGGTGGAATGTCCTGAGTGGTGAAAAGTCAATGCAGTAAAATTTATGCCTTGTAGGTTTCTTAATATGAAAGCCTCTGCTCAGCCCCTATACATTTCTAGCAATTTCATCTATCCAGTTTCCCAATTCACAGGTAATTAGAAAATAACTTAAAGTGAAGTGACTGTGGCTACAGCTTATTATTGTTATTAACATTTATTGAGTGCTATTAGCTGCTAGAAACTGTACTAAATCTTTTCCATGCATTATTTCACTAAATTTTGCAACAACTCTATAAAGTAGATTAGTAGCTCCATTGTACAATTTCAAAAACTGAGTTTTAGACAAGTTTTAGGACTAATTTGCCAAATTTGTCTACACTTACTGTAGACAGGCATACAGGTAACAGTGTGATAACCTGATAGCAAAACAATACATAAAATACAAAAGAAAAATAAATTGCAAGAAGTTGGAAAGCATAGTAATTTGGAGGTATTGAATTTAGAGACAGGCCCATTTTATACCTCTCAGTAGCTTTTAGAAGGCAACAGTAAAGGAACTAGTGTATATAAGTATGACCTCAAACCATTACATTATGTTCAAAAATCACTTACTTAAGAATGGAGAAAGAAGTGTAATACTCACTATAAATATTTCTCTCTCTTTTTAAATTGGCAAGGTAAATATCAATGTGTGTTCTGGATTCTTAAAGGGAAGGCTTTATTATCTGAAGAATTCACATAAACAGAACACATTTTTCTCTGATGATAGTAGCATTTTTACTTGTGATATTTTTCTAAAGAATAAAACATTAAAAGGGAATATAACTTCATTTGCAAAATATTTCCATTTCTTTTTCAAAGCCTCTTTATTCAGCTTCAGCTAGCCCATTTGTCAATTTTCAGTGGTTTGGGCATATGCCATCACCAGGGTTTATCCTATAGTACTGACTAATGTGGAATTGACCATTTTAAAAGGAGACATGGGAGCATGACTGAATTGATCTGTGGTTTCAAGTGGTCAAAGAAAATCCTCAATCCCACTCTTTACTAGAATTAGAATAGTTGCCCCAGAGCCTTACCCAAAATTGCCACATGGTCCATGCCTAGGGTTTGACTGTGATTTGTCATGAGAAGAGAAGGTGAGATCTTGAACAAGGTAATTTCTCAAGTGACCTGTCCTTAGTGGATACCTGAGTATGGCCTAGAGCACTGAGAGGCTCTAGGAAAGATGAGAACCCTGGATCGAGACATTTAAAAGGAGCCAGGGATCCTGCAATCGGCTACAAGTACCCTTCAACAAAATTGGCCTCATCCACAGTCTTACCCTATTATATTATATTTTGCCTAGATCTGTCCATAGCAGTTTCCAAGAAAAAAAAAATGCAAGGAGGGACCCTAGGAACTGAATAGGTGGCAGGGAAAAAGGCTGAGGGGCCTCCAGCTGCTCTCTGAGTGAGAATTAAACAAACAGCCCAGTGTGGATACAGTGAGGGGAGGTTATATGAGACAGACATAAAAAATTAAAGTCCCAAACCACAGCGGTCATTCAGAAATGTTTGCATCTTTTCATAAGGCAGTGGTATTACTCTAAATTTCCTAGCCAAATATTTATTAATGCAACTGAGGATTGAGTACATGAGGTTGTCTCACATCGACCCAGCATCCCACTTTTCTAAAACTGTGAGGTACTGTCAAAAAAACTCTTCTACACTCAAAATAGCTACGTTACAGAGGAGAGTTGGAACGTGTTCTGGGAGTGGGTGTGTTTGAGTTCAGTGTGTGCAGAAAAGGCAAGCCTCCAAAGCAATTCATACACTTCCCTCCTCGGCGATGGGTACACAGACAGCAGAGCTCCTGGACTGTCTCTGAACGGTAACGTACATTTACAGATTATTTTCTTAACTATTTTGAGCCATTTTATAAATAATATGCATGTGTCTACTAACGCATATACGTATATATATTTAGTCAACTGTTGCTTGTTTTCTCCTGTGGCTGATCTTGTGGTTGCTTATGAGGTTTGATTTCTGAGTGTCAGAAAGAGCTCCCCCTTACCTCCTACCCCAGCCACCCAAAAATATCTCTTGGGTTGGCCCACCACAGATGAGTTCAAATCTTCACATTGCTCAAATGAGTTAGTCATTGAAAGTAGCTGTTAAAATTCAAGTGTCACATTGGAATATTAAGTAGACATTATAAATTAAAGACTATGTAAAGCAGAAAAGAATATGGAGAAATTACTTGTAATATAATGTTAAGTTTTAAAGGAAAAATGCAAAATGACATACGCAGTCTGGTTCAGATGCTGTTTATAAAATATCATGGAGTCAGAGCCAGCATATATAAGCTAGTTCATGAATATGAGCCTGAAGTAAAAGAAACCTAGCACTGTTGGGCAAGTTTTGTTCTGATTTATTTTAATAAGTGCTTTCCACAGTTTCTGATCCTCAGATCCTACTTTCTTTACAGTGTATCATCAGATACCTCTCTTTGCTGATCCCTGGAGGCTCCCAGTGACCTCCTGTTAATCGATCTTGGCGGGGCCCAAAACCCCACCTCCTGGAAAACTTAAGGAGTCTGACATCTGCCTGTGGGGAGTTTTTAGAAAAACCCACCCAGTTTCTCTTGGCAGCAAACTGCAAAACCAAGCCCATTTCCTCAAAAAATGGCGGAGGGCTTAGCAGCCTCCTATATTGCTCTGAAATTGGAAAATGAAATGCTCCAGGCCCAAGTGCAGAGGCTGATGAAAGAAAATGCTGCCCTGCAGGCCCAGATCCCAGAGCTCCAAAAGCCCCAGGCAGCCAAGGAGGATGAATTAGCCCAGAAGCCCACAGAGGCCCAGGAGCTCCCCAAACCCTCAGGGCCCCTGGAAACCCCAGCAGCCTGGGATCATACAAATCCCCCAGAATCTGAAGAGCCCCAGAAGCCCAGAGAGCTTCCAATTGACCATGGACTCTTAGCAACCTGTGTGTCCCAAAAGTCTCCAGAGGCTAAGGAGCTGGAGAAATCCCCAATGGCCCTGAATGTCCACAGGCCCCTTGAAGTAAAGGAGGCCCAAGTGTCCCCTGATACCAAGGATGACCTAGAAGCCCAGGAGGCCCAGAATTTAGAGCTCCAGGATCTTTCAAATGTCCAAGATCCCCTGGAGACACCAGAATGCCAGATCTCAACACACCTGGAGCCCCTGGAGCTTTGCGCTCCCCAGAAGCCTCTGCAGTCTTGCATGCCTCAGGCCCCCCTGGGTGTATCAGATGCCCAGGAGTTCCTAGAGCTCTCAGCACCTCAGGAGTCCTTGGAGGGCCTAATGGCTGTTGAGACATCCACTGCCTCAGAGTTTCCACAATCCCCTAGTGGGTTAGAGGCTGAAGCTTTCCCCTTAGAACGCCCTTTAGCCTTCAATGGGAACTCCCAGAAGTTTCCTGGATTTCTGGTTCAATTGAGAGTCAGAGGGCACCTGTATCCCACTGAAGCAGCCTTAGTGAGCTTTGTCAGTAACTGCTTCTCAGGTGAGGCAGGAAAGTGGTTCCAGCTCTTAGTGTATATCCAAAGACCCCTGCTGGAGCAATTTGAAAGTTTCATACGAGTGCTCCGGGATACTTTTAACAATCCAGAAAACATGGAAGATGCCAACCACCACATGCATCCGGTTTGCCAAGGGGAGGATCCTGTCCACCAGGATGTGACCCACTTACACCTCATTGCTCAAGAGCTAAACTGGGATGAAAGTACTCTCTGCATCCAATTTCAAGAAAGCCTTGCTAGTTCTATCCGAGATGAACTGTCTCCCACAAACTCAGCCACTAACCTATCTTATCTGATCACCCAGTGTAACGGCCTAGAAGAGAAGCTAAATGTTAAGCCTGATCCAAATGCCCAAGGTAAAAGTCCCTCTGAGGAGAGAGGTAGGCCTGAGAATCAACCAGGTGAAAACCGGCCTGTGCAGGCTGCAAGCAATCGCCCACACCTCAGTAAAGCTGAACGGGCTCGGCGCCGGGAAGGCCACTTGTGCCTCTACTGTGCTCATCCTGGTCATTTTGCCAGAGATTGCCCTGTCAAGCTTCATCGTGCCCAGCCGGCGGGAAACATCCAGGCCCGGCGGTAAGGGGGAACCCCGGCGGGCCAATCTACAAATATGCATCCCCCTCACTTCCAATATCCATGTCCCGAATCCTTTGGCTTACTGTTGAAATTCGACTTGGAAGAAGACAGTTCTTTGAGCAAGCAATGGTGGACTCAGGCTCCTACAGAAACAGCATTGACCATTCTGTGGTACTTCGAGAGAAGCTGCCCATGCGCAATAACATCTTCCCTCTGATGCTCGAAACAGTAGACGGCCGTCCACTGATTAATGGACCCATAACTAAGGAAACACCACCTGTTGAAGTTAAAATTGGAAACCATGTTGAAGAGCTTCAGTTTGATATTATTCATGCACCGCGATACCCTCTGATTCTTGGAATCCACTGGCTTGAAACACATGATCCAATCATAGAGTGGAGTACCCGCACTGTGTCCTTTCCATCTCGTTATTGTCACTATAATTGCTTCAGGCACAGATGGAATAGAAGACATTGTGATGAAATAATTGCTGGGTAGATCCTGTGTCCTGGTGACTGCTTCTGGCAACATGTCTTCTATTACCTCAATTGTCATCAGAATCTGTAACAATAAATAAGAGCTACCTGGACAACAACACTGCCTCTTGGATCATGGACTGAGCCTGACAATTTTTAACTGCTTTTCTCCCACCAATCCTGCATGCCCATTTCTTTGAACCCTGCATTACTGTGGGGCAGTTTTAATTACAATTTATACTAACAATATGCATGAGAATAGATATTAGAAACTAACTTTGAAAAGTGTAGCTGTTAGACTAAGTTGATTTTTTCTTATCAACATTTTTCTCTATTATTAACAATTGCAGTATCTTTTCAATAAAAAATAAATTTTCAAGTGATATTTTTTAAAAATCAATAAACATTTGTAATATCTACTGGTATTTGCATTATTTCTTGGCCTAACTGGGGGAAGAGGATAAGGGATAAATAAGTTAGGAGGAGTAGGGGGGATTGGAAAAGGCTAAAAGTTTTGGTAAGGTCCTAAATATTCCAAGGGTAGTGAAGGGTCAATGGGTGATGGGGTGGGATGATGGAGAAAATAGGGGAAGAGTTGGGCAGAGGAATATTGGGTGAGGTGTGGAGGGGTTAGGGAAGGGTAGAGGGAAGGTTGAGAAGAGATACTGGGGAAAATTAGCAGGAGGTTGAGTTCAGTGGAGGGCAAGGGTGAAGGGAGGGGAAATTTCTATAAATATAAAGGGAGCACTAACTGAGACATTGAGCAGTTTTGAAATTAAACTTCTGGGACTTTATAAATTAACCAAAGAAAGTCACTGGACTGGGTAATGAGACGACTCAATGACCCAACTTTCTCATAAAGTAACTATGTTATTCCTTGCACCTGGGAAATTTGCCCTAGAGCTCATGCCTGTTAATTGGCTCTTGCCAGTGCACAAGAGTTAGATATCAGGAATCAGCTTTCAAAACATGCAGATCATTAATAGCCAACTTTAGCTCTCCTACATATACAGGTTGCCATATTTCTTGCATGACCCACCGTAAAAGCCAAGGAAAGGAATTTGTATCCTCATAGACTTGAGAGGGGCTGTTAATGTAGTGTTGTGATTTAAATCTTTAAACCTCTCTCTCTCTCTCTCTCTCTCTCTCTCTCTCTCTCTCTCTCTCTCTCTCTCTCTCTCTCTCTCTTTCCCCCCTTTCATAAAAAGAGACTGAAATCTCCAGGTGAGATATGAGCAGTGATCAAAGTGGGTGCTAGTGCATTTCTTCTGTGTTTCCAACTCTCCTTTAGGAGTCTCTTTCTGAGACCACTTGAAGGAGAGTAAAGAAATAATCAAATACATGGTCATTACCCTAGAAGGAGATATGTAGGAACTTACTAGTCACTGAGCCACTAATATATTCCAGCTACAATGTCAGGCATATTATACACATTAATTATCTCATTATTTCTCAGAACAACCCAGTGAAATAGGTATCTTTGCTCCTATTTTAGCAATGAACACAGAGAATGCTAACAAGGTTGGTTCACTTGTCCAAAGTCACAACGCAAAGGAGTGGTGGAGACATATTTGGCCTCCAAAACCTGTGCCCTTTCTCTACATCATGCCAATGTCTCTAATGCAGTGGTGAGGGTCAAGTAATATTGTTGTAGCAGAGAGATAATTCTAAAAAGGATAGAAAACTCAAAAGACAAAGTGTAGGGACCTTTTGGATTGTAATTCTGTTTCCCCAGTTACCTTTATGTCAACCCCATCACCCTCACTGGCTCATTCACCACTTTAAACTTACCTTTTTATTTCTTGGAATATTTCCTTTTGTTTAACCAGTAGCATGCAGGGTTTAGATCCCATGGTATTTTTTCATGGGAGTTGGAGGTATATTAAATAATAAGTTACCTGTAGGACCTATGCATTATTATCTAGCAGTATGTGTATCACCTCTCAGACTGTCTGCCTATCCTCTTCAATAACCAATACACTATGATGTACACCTGAAACAAATATAAAATAATACTTAATACAATCTGTAATAGAAAAATAGAAAAATAAACAGCCTACCTAATAAAAGAGTAATATGCAAATTAACCATCACTCAACTACACCCACCAGCCACGCCCACCAGCCAATCAGAGCAAGTATGCAAATAAACCTAACCACGATGGCTACCAGGAGGGAGGCTTGGGTTTCCCTGGCAACAGAGGAAGCCAAGCTTTCCACACACCCTGCCGGGCCCAAACCTCCACTCAAGGATACAAAGTTTCAATCAAAGGTAAACAAATCCAAACAGAAATGGCGGCAGCCACGGAGTGAGCAGGAGGCTTGACTCCACTCCAGGCTACAACGTTTCAATTATAGAAGGTAAATAAACCCCAGATACCAAGGCTTCCACTTTGGGTCAGGGGTGGTGGGGGGCGTGGCTGGCCTGCAAACCACCACAGGCCCTTCACTCAGGCCACCTCACGTGCCACCGTTCCGGGACGTTCTTCAGGGAAAACCAGCTGGCCCCCACCCATGCACCAGGCCTCTATCCTATCTAATAAAAGAGTAATATGCAGATTGACCATCACTCCAACACACAATATGGCTGTCCGAATGTGGACAAAGATTCTGCACCCATGTGGACACAAGATGGCCACCACAAGATGGCCAACAGGGGAGGGAAGTTGGGAGGGACCAGGCCTGCAGGGGAGGGCAGTAAGGGGTGGCCAGGCTGGCAGAGGAGGGAAATTGGGGGCAAACAGGCTGGCAGGGGAGCAGTTAGACATCAATCAGGCTGGCATGGGAGTGATTAGGGTGATCAGGCTGGCAGGCAAAAGCGGTTAGGGGCAATCAGGAAGGCAGGCAGGCAGGCAAGCATTTGGGACCCAGCTGTCCTAGATTGTGAGAGGGATGTCTGACTGCCTGTTTGATCCCACCAGGATTGGGTCTAAATGAGCAGTGGAACATCCCTTGAGGGGTCCCAGATTGGAGAGGGTGCAGGCTGGGCTGAGGGACACCTCCCGCCTCCATGCACAAATTTTGCGCACTGGGCCTCTAGTACAGAAATAAAAAATAACACATCCAAATCCTAAAGAGCCTTAAATTCTACCTCTTCTAGTCCTCATTGGCCTTCTATTTTAACCCTGAACAATCTAAGATATTTTGTCATTATACACCACCTTGTGATATGTGGGTACATTTCCCTAGGTAAATAGCCTACATCCTCCCTACATGCCCCCCCCACCCACACACACACACACACAAATACTTAGCCTGGGTTCAGAGATAGAACCTTCTACATTCCTAATCTTGGCAGCATAGCCTAACATAGTGTCTTTTACATAAAAGTTCTCTACAGTGACTGATTCAATGATAGTGAATTATTATTTCCCAGAGAAGGGTGCTTACTTGTATACTAGGGGCCCGGTGCATGAAATTTGTGCATGGCAAGGGTGTCCCCTCAGCTCCACCTGCACTCTCTCCAATCTGGGACCCCTCAAAACCTCTAGTTCCTAACCACTCACCTGCCTGCTGGCCTGATCCCCCTAACTGTTCTCCCCTGCCAGCCTTATCCCACTAATTGCTATCCCCTGCTGGCCTAAATGCCCTAACTGCTCTCCCCTGACAGCCTGGTCCCCTTAACTGCTCTTCCCTGCCTGCCTGATCACCTCTAACCTCCTCTGCCTTGGCCTCACCAACATGGCTTTGTCCAGAAGGATGTCCGAAAGGACATTTGGGAAAGTTGTCCAGAAAATGTTCAGTCTAATTAGCATATTACCCTTTAATTAGAATAGATGCCACCTTGTCATAAAAATGAAGGTTGTGCCCAGGTTTTTATATCATGGAAGGGGAGCCCGCCGTAGCACCCTGGGTTCTTACCAGGGCTTATGTGCTTGTGCTTTATCTCAGCAGATGCAATTCCTAGAAAAAGACTCTTGGATGTACCTTGAACATTTCTATTGAATTTGCCAAATCATCCTCCAAAAATGTTGAACCACTTTAAACTCCCACCAGCAACCATGTGTGTGCCCTCCATCCCACTTTGATGCCAATATCATTGATTTCTCCCTAGAAGCTTCCCTCCTGTCAGCTGGGACCACTTGGTACTTGAACCAACTTCATTGTTTAGCTGAGGACTTGATATCCCAAGATAGAATTATGGAAGAGGAAAAATAGTTTTCCTCTACCTTTCTGAGTTCTTAGTGGAAGCCCTTGTAATGAAAGACAGAACAAAAGTTCATTAACATGTGTACTTTGTGTATATGTGGGAGATCCCAGGAAAAAATGAGTCACTCCCCAAGGTGGCTTAGAATGCAGATTTAAATACCTTCTTCCTAGGAAAAGGGGATGGTAGATGTAGGCATCTCAGAGGAGAGTAAATGATTTTTAGAAAAGATGAATGGGGGTGGGGAGAAATAGTTTGTAACAAAGTTTGGGTGTGATGTCAACTTCTACTTTCCTGTCCTGTGACAGGAGTTAGTCTTCTCTGCCCAATGACACTTCTCCTGTCAAGGGGACGACCTGTGACATTTAAGCTCCTTTTGGGGGTTCCAATTTTAGGCAGATCAGGAGACTTCAATGAAAGCCTCTGCATGCATTTGCTGTTTTTCAAGCATTTGCAGCTCAAGATCATCAGTATAACAACACAGCATATGTTGGGGTGGCATGTTCTCTGACCTTCAGAATAAACCCAACAAAAGCTTGTTTCCTCTCTCAGACGATTTGCCACAGTCATGTTATTCCCTGGAGACAGTATTCTGACCAGACCTTCCTGGGAGTGGTCATAACATCCCCTGTGCTTGTAGAAGGTGTGGGCCACATCACTAAATAAACCAGGGGAAGTTTTCTCATCCGGGGAAAGGGAGATAAAGTTATGATAGTTTATCTCCCTTTACACAGGTTTCTTGTGGGTTTGTGTCTCTGTTGCCCACCCCCCCCAGCAGCCCCAGTGCCTCATCCATGGGGCTTGGGGCTGCTGGGTGCTGAGATTGTGGGTTTGTGTCTCTTATCTGGCCTCTAGCAGTCCCAGCATCACCTGGCC